TCCGGCCGCTCAGACTCGCGGAGTTCCTGTGGCCACCCTGACCACCGGTCTTCTGAAATAAACCTCTCATGAAACGAAAGTGAATTTCCTTTTTTTTGCGTTCAAATAGGGGGATAAGGGAGGACTTCAACCTCTTCTCCTTCGCTAAGTTTACATTAAATTTGCAGAGCGGATTTCTGCGGCTTTATTGGACCACACATACTCGTGCACCTTATTAAAGGGAAGCTACGGAGCTTCTTGGAAAAAATAAGTTAGAAGTGAATTCTAGTGTATTTTTACCCCGTGAACCCGAATACCCAAACCATTTTCGTGCAAGTATTGTTAAACGCGAGAAAAACGCGAAAGACAGTCGCTGTCCGTGACGTCATCGACGGCTCTTTTGGCTGCCCAAGGCTGGGGGGGCGGGGCTTCAGTCCTATTTTGAAATTGCTCGTATGGCTCTCCGGCGAGTCGCATTGAAATACAATTTTGATATCTGTTAATCTAAAGGCCAAGTGAACGCAATTCAAGCTCATAATAAGTGGTAAACCGAATATTGTTTGTGCTATCCTTTTATTCCAACTTTTTTTTTAGCTTGTTTTTTTAACTGGTAGAAAGAGCGCAGCTTGACGAAGGACAAGAAACGAGGAGTATACAGAAAGGCGCTGTGAAAGTGCACAGAGAGGCATTGTTTCTGCCAGCTAATATGAAAAACCAACTCGGCCAAATTTCCACTTTGTTGAACTTGCTTTCTTACTTACAGTTTTTGTAAAAACCTTTTTTTTTTTTTTTTGCAGTAGATCACTGCTACGTTTTGCGTCAAGGTGCTGCTCCTGCTCACGAGTCTAGCGGGGATGTGGCTGACATGGAAATTTCGGTTTCTTCACCGTCGCCTATAAAGACTATCTCTCTGGCTGTGCTGCTGGGCCTTCTCACAAATGTGAGTTGTTTCTACGATGCAAACTTTTTTCTTTTGCATTTTTTTTGTGAAATTATAAAAGGTCAGATTGCAAAAATAAATAGCCAAGGCTCGAAAAACACCAGTGAATACTAAACTTTATCTGGAGAGCTGATGGCGCAAGCGGTCACATAACACAAGACCGGGTAGCTGGCAGCTACAAATCTAAGTTTGTTCAAAGTTCACCACATTTTTGTGTTTCACGGTATATTGTCTTTGTCAAGCACACAAAAATACAAAAGACATGTTTCACACGCAGATGTTAACACCATCAAATCAAAACAGCTCAACCGGTTTCACTGAATCATAAGTCTTCCCGCAAAACCTCACGTAAGACTGTTTTTTTATAGGCATCGAAAAGTTGCCTTGGCGATATGTGTGCGATGCCGAGCCTGTCATGGTCCCCTCTCCTATCTGCCAAACATTAGTTGCCTGTTTTTGTGCGAGCGCTTCACTGTTACAGTGCCATCAGCATAAGTAAGGTATGGTCAAGCTTTGAGAAATGCATTTCACAGTTTGGATGCCTATTCTGACTTGAATGTTTCTGTGTGCGCCTTTGTCTTTTTGGACTATCAGGTCTCTGGCCAACATGAAGCGCCTAGTCCGACATAAAGATGTACTGCTGCTTTCCTTATCTTGAATTGCATATGTGTAGTCCGTCAAACTTGCTGTTCTTGGTTAAAGACACTTCAAATCATTGAGGAGTATTTTTGAGTGTGAATAGATTACACATTTAATAAATTGGTGGAGAATGAAAGTTTCTCTTGGAGGCCTGATCTGGTTCATTTGTCAAATTGCAGCACCCGGCAAAAGCGGCAGCATTGACAAGAAGAAGGTGAACGCCCTGAGAGCCGAAATGCGACAGCTTCAAGAGCGCAACAAGAGGCTGCGAAGAAGGCTGCAACGATAACGTCAGATGAGGACTGTTGCCGAAGTCGTTGAGAGTGTCCGCGTTCATGTGTCTCCTGCTGTCGCTGCACTCGTTGAAGCCCAGCTTAGAATGAGCAATGTGAGCCGGTTTGGCCGGAGATGAATACAGCAGCAAAGTGTAAAGATAGGTAGCAAGTGCACATGCTAGGCACGTGAGACCACCCAGAGTACTTTTTAAAGCAGTGTAGGCATGTTCTATTCGGACCTTTAATTTTCTTCTGTTTCTTGAAGAGTAATGTAGTTTTCTAACTGATTCACATATATAGCGTTTAAAGTTGTGAAGCAACACTGGCTTATGAAGTGCAGCATACCACAGGGCTCTAAGATGGTTTACTCCATTGGCTTCCTTGACCTGCACCAAACAATCGTTTCGTTGCAGTGTAGCAGCACCAGCAGATGCAAGTTAATATATTTTCAGCATTATGGTACAGTGCCCAAGGACTGCGTAGACAAGTGTAGTTTTTTTCTGTGTATTACTGTGGTGACTACAGTTGTCCTCGGAACACTGTGAATCCTCTGAGTTATTAGCGGCTGCCTGTAAACTGTCAATGGCCTCACAACATCCAGCCGATTGTACATTGTCTTATTATGTTAGAATGTGCCTTATGTACCGATCTACTAGTTTTCCTACACCATCATACTTTCAAAATAGTAAAAACCGATTGTATGATTCTAGTGAGTAATCTGATTGAATGATTCTAAGTGAATAGAACAAATAAAACGCGACTGTTAATGCGACGTTGGACTCGCGTTAACTTAACCCCAGTTATTCACTGGGGTTATTTCATACGCAAAACACTCCAGCAATTTGACTCACTCTTTTTTTGTGAAATTACATCATTCGCTTTAAGGTTTCCCACACATTTCCGAGGGATCCTGAAGGAACAAAGAGCAAAGCACTGTGGCTCGAGTTTAACCACAGTGCAAAGACACGATGGTGTGATGAAATGAAACTACTCTCATAGCAGGTCTGATAATAAAGTTGGCTGCAGAAAAAAACATTTCAAAATATAAGAGCAATGGCAAATAAGTGCGTAAACGATCCAGTATATATTTAACATCCCAAGAAAAACCCGAGATTGCGGGTAAAAATAACGACACACGCACTAAAATGTACCAAACAAAGCTCACACACAGAGCTATGTTTGAGACTTTTTAGTGTATATGTCGTTCATTTTACCTGTGGTCTCTGGATATCTTTTTGTTTAATTTTCGCGCCAAACCGCACGCACGCATGACGTCACGTTTATTTTCCGGAAGTGTCGTCATTTCCTGTTTATTTTTTGTTCCGCCGGAAGTGTCCCCGCGACTCATAGATGGCGCTAAGGCTGCGCTATGGGCCGCCGTTCTTTTTTTTTTTTTGACATTTGGGTTTTTATGGAAGCATCGCTGCCCATGTACATATTGTCACGGGTGGTGACCAATAAACAAGAAATAAACAGAAATAAATAAACGTTTAATGTGGCAAACTTGTGCCAAAATTAAAAAAAAAAGGAAACAGAAGAAAGCAGAGCGCCGCGGGCGTCGAAGTCGGCGTGTCAGCAGAGTCGAACGCTGGGGCGAAATTGACTGCAGATCGTCACGCGGAGCCCCTTATGTACACGTGTGGGCTTCTGGTATGATCGGCGTAGAAGGTTCGGCGTGTAGAACATTCTGACCTCGAATCAGCAAGACGGTTCTTGAATTCACCAGAACATCAAATTAAACTGTCAACAAAAATGTGAAGCCGCGGCCAGGAATCGAACCCCGGCCCTTCACGTGGGAGGCAAGCACGATAACCGTTAGGCCACGCGCGCGCTGCCTACTTGGCCAGCTGCGCGCGCGGCAATATACCTTGGTGCAGCTCTATTTCCATTTTAGTTTACGCCGTGTCCCTCTCCCTAGCATTGGCATTTGTGGTGGCTCGTCAAGGCACACTTCAATGGCTCGGCATCTCGATAAGAGAAGAGAAAGTCAGCAATGGCGGCTGTAATCTTTCCTGTGTGCATGCACCTATAAACTTCACTAGAGCTGATTTAGTGGCTTTAAGCTTCACAGTGCCTGTCAACGCATGTGGCTCCCGTCATCCAGGTATCTGACACCCAAACATCTGGCGCTGTTTCTGACTCTCACGTTGCGTTCTAAGCGGTACACGACAACAAATGCAAATAAAGCTATTTCTGAACACGCGTCGCCATCTGTATGTGATATTATAAAACTGCGACTTTCTGTAACTGAATGAGAAAAGTTTTAGATTAAACCCCTAAACTTCACGTGTAATCTAGCCATAGGCACTTTCTGAAAATGTAATATCGAAATATGCTTCGTAATTTAATGTCTCGTAACTATCATTAGATGACAATATTCAGTTTTTACACCCCGAGAAAATACTACCATTTTAAACTTTGTTTTAATTTTAAGATATACTTTATCTGTACAGTTCATTGCTTACTTATTAAATTCATTATATCCAACAGACCGTTACGTAAATGGTCGTGGACTTCAGACGCTGTACGCCCGAGAAAAAAAGACAATTTCAATATCGGAAATTGGGTCTATTAAAAGCTAAATAATGAACTAAGAAGTGATAATAAACTTTCTATTGCGACATATAGAAGTATAGTTAAAGAGTAATTTCATTTGTCAGTAACTTCATGATTCGAAAATGCATTAAAAAATGTATAAACTATCCAAAAAAAGGAGGACATGTTCTCTAAAGCTCGAGTTGATTGCAAACAACAAATCGCCTATGAAGAAAAAAAGTTCCGTTTATGTTCAATTCGACATGATGAGCGGTGGCAGCAAACAAGCACAGCCGCAACGCATACGGGCAACTTCGGTGGTATAGTGTAGTGTAAAAAGAAGAGGAAAAAAAAAAAAACGCAAGGAGTAAGGAACAGGAAATTTTCCGTCACACTGAGTCTGATGAGATATTTTATAAATCAAATAAATCATGACGTATGTATCGTATGTATGATGAAAACGATAGTATTTATAGAATGTTTCTGGTCGAGCTTGCCTGGGTAAACGTGCAGAACTCCGTGCACGGGAGACAGTAGAAGCTCGTCATTTAACTATACTTAAAACTTGAAAGGCAGCGTGGGACCAAGAAACGTCTGACGTTTCTTGTCTCACGTTAGTGGATGCAGCGTACCGTTCTCCCCGTGTATGCAGGTACCACCGTTAGCGCAGCACTCTTCGGGAGCGGGCCACGTGTTCATGTAGGGCGCGATGTAGCGCATGGCCTCCGATGGGATGTCGCCCTCGTGGACCGGGATGCCTGCGATGCGCAGGCCGCGAAGCACTGCGGAGACGACTCTCAACCATAAAAATCATTTTTAAAGTTTTAAACGGTCAACTTCGCACTAAGTGAGTATAAAACAAGTATTACAAGAAGCGAAAGTATGCAGGCTAGAAGACAGCAGAATTCATAAACCCTGAAAGGAGAAAAAAAAAATAATGGACAAGACGAACCAAAATTTAAAAAGCAGCTAAACCCATCTGCGATCGAGATTGCGTGTTGTCTTGTCCGTTATTTTATTTCTCCGTGTCTCAGGGCTCACGTTACGATATAAAATAAGAATGATATTTTAATTATACGAATAAACCAATACATCAACCATTACCGGCAACTAAACGAAAACAAATTGCTAGCCCTTTAGCAAATTTTAAAAACAAAACTGCTATTTTTTAACAAATATATTAATTAATTAATTAATGATGCCATCTTATCTCATGTAAGCAGGCTTTCTCACAGAATAATAGTGAGCCAAAATATCATTAAATTGTTCCTCAGAAGAATGCTGCTCAATTTATTTTTGAGGAGCCAACCTGGCATTCTGCTGCAAGTCAAGTCACACCGGCGCGTGAAGTTCATCCCGTATACGCGCGTTGAGTGTAAAAGGAAATATACAATCACTGTAGTTAGTTCCAGGGAAAAAAAGCCTGCAAGGGCATGTGCGTGCAGGTGTGCGTTGGGGGAACGTGAGAGTTCCGCGCGTACTTTCAGGAAACAGATATTTCCCAACAACTGCCACAGCTTGTCCCCGCAAACTCACGGATGCAATAAAAATGTTGCTAGTAGACGTAAAACTACCGCCACATTAACTCTTCTAGCTTTGGTTTATTTCATTGAGGGTATAACATTTTTATAGCCCTAGCACGCTCATTAAAGAAACCTTAGCTTGTAATTTGAAATTACAGGATTTTTCTTTTTTTTATTAAAGTTCCTAAATTTATTTAAATAAATACTTTTTTAGTCAAAACTTTGATTTCTTTTTTTTTTCTTAAAAGATGTATATATGAGTTTTTTTTTTTTTTTCATTACTTTGAATTGAGTTGAATTGAATAATAATTTATTTTGAAAGATACCCCCAAAAACTGTAGCGGACTGCTCTGTGTAGGAGTGTTTATCGTCGCGCAGAGCATAGTAGAAGAGAGAAATATGAACATGCAGGGTGTTTTATCAAATTTTGCCAAGGCTTACAGTTAAAACTGATGTAAACTACGCATGCTGAACCAATGCACTATTGTTCACAGTTTTGTTTAGAAAATCAATATTTATATATTTTTGCGATGTGCCAGGCTGGCTAATTGACGCAAATTGATTAGCTAATACGTGCGCAAAGCCTCCGATACCAAAGTTGTAGAGTGTTTTGAGGAACATTCGATTGTGTCATTCTCATAAAGGTAGCCTTTAGGTTGTGTCTCATTTATTAAAACAAAACAAAAAATATCAAGCGTGAATAAAAAAATTTCTACGGCGATTAACTGCTAGTGAACTACGATCTCGCGTTCTTTCTTTAAAGCTCGGGAGCATTAGACACACGAAGGCAATATTGATGAAAACAATATGACCGGATGTTTGTCAACACGCTCTACAACTCTTGTATTGAAGGACGGTGGACAAATTAATATTTAAACAACTTTGCTAAATATGTTGTGTTCATTAGTGAGTTTGGTTCACCGCAAAGAATACGTTGATTTGCTCAACAAGACTGTGTATAATACTAAGTTGTTCGTTTTTTTTTTTTTCGTCATGAGTCTTCAACGAATCTCCAGCCTTCAATTTCTAGATCTCCAACTGTTGTTCAAGGACAAACACACTTGCTAGAAGTACTCACCATGAATCAAAAAAACGCATGCTGCAATTTGACTTGGCGCACTAAAAATATTATCAAGAGAGGAACTGTAAAAAGCACAAAAGTGCTGCCTTAAAAAAGTAAAACACAAAAATTGGGTTGTGTCTATATTTATACAGCCTAGAACTTGGTCTGCCTCAACGGGAGAGGAGTCTCCCAGCTGTAGTGTAGAAGAGCAATTTAGCCAGTGCAGTACAACCGCTAGCCTGGTGACTTTAACGTGCACCACGCAGTAGTGATACACGACCGCACGCCGGTACGATACTCATCTAGATCGAAACGGGCAGGGGTGGGGATTGAACCCAGGATCCCTGGGTTTTGCAGCTCGAGCTTTCGCTCCACGTGCTCCGAGCTGGTGTGCGCTAGACCACCAGTGCGAAGTGAAACATCAGCCAAAATACGACGACTGTCAACGAAGAGTGGTGTATGAAACTCCTTTCTCCCGCGGGAAAATATATGTGGGTCAGACAGGGCGATGTATTAATGATCGCCTACGAGAACATACCTCATCCTTGAGGTCGTCACCAGCTGGCCACTTAGCAATACACGTAAGGGGTTGCATGTGCACTGCAAAGTTTAGCCATACCAAAATCATAAGGTGTTTCATGACTAAAAGAACACGCGGGCTGTACGAAGCTCGAACAATTTTGTCTAGTGGGGCTGTGTGCATCAGCGTTCCATCAATCACCTCATAACAAGAGGAACTTTACTACCTTAATCTAACGACTTGACGGTAAGTAACCTGCTTGCAAGTATTATGTTCCTTTTTGCCTCAAACTTCATAATCGTATTTTCATCATCTGCGATTGGTGTTCGTGTTCCTCGACAATTTCCTTTTTTGCTTAAACTTTTTTTTTCTTCTTCTTTTTCTCTTTTTTTTTTGTGTGTTTCAAAATTGAGGGCGTTTTTTTTTTATTCTTTTTTGTTAAGCAATTGCATCTGAAACTTTTTCCTTCTATTTTATAAAGTGTATTAAAACGTTAGTTCTCAGTTAGCGCTCCTCCTGTCTCCCTCGTCCTTCCTTCCTTGTTCTTTTGCACTATATGTCCTCATGATGGACGACCAACTAGCCCGCCATGGGTTCGACACGTGTAGCGTGCAAAAGATCTTTTTTGTTTTCTTTTAGGTCTTCGTAGAAATTAGTTGAAGCACCCTGTACACATTAATAAGGTTATTCGTGATAAAAATAATGAAAGAAGGAAACCCTGCGGTGTTCGACGTGGGAAAGGTTGACACACTTTTCACCCCTGTTCACCCAATAAACATAATTCAAATATCTTCAGAGCGACAGACGTCGCATACTCGCTCTTGCCTCTATGTACCCAATAACCATGAAAACCCAAATGGGCAACCTATGACCGCTGCATCAGAAGAAGGTGGCCGACTCGATTAAAAAGCAGATCAATTTTATCAGCTTCCGCTGGCCAAATTGAACTGCTTTTTAATCGAGTCGGCCATTGGCCTCCGAAATAACGCGTGGACGCGTTTCATGGAAAAGCATGACGCGACTGAAACGTCACACCATACGGACAACGCACGTGTGGAGGAGTCACGTCTGTTCTGCCGCTTTTCCCATTGTCATATGACGGTTCGTTTTTCCGGTACGTCGAAGAGATTTTTTTTTTTTTTTTTTTTTTGACAAGAACGAATATTGAACGAGTCTCGGGTATCATGGTCACAGCGAACCTTAAGAAATCTTGGATGTTTTTGAGTTAAAGCAAATAGGCAGGCGCTCCAGGGTTACCATTTTGTAGATTTTGCCCGAATTAAAGAAAAATTTAAGCTTTTAACGAATATTCCTGTAGCAGAATGTTTGCTTTCACCAAAATAGCCCCTCCAGTAGATATTAAAGGGGTTATGACACGCCAAAAATAAAATATTACATAACTATACTGCTAGGATCCATTGTATGTTCCTATAATCCTGCTAAATTTGTTTTGAAAAAGGCGCGATAATTTCGTGGATAAATCGATTTATATGCGGGCCCCTCGGAGGGGCAGATCCGGGCGGACCTGGAGGCTGATGACGTAGCCAGCCTCCAGCGTGGTGTCTACTTGCACGCACTCACAGACTTGGCTCTCTTGGCGTATCGAGCCTCGGCTTCCTCGTTTACCTTCCACGTTTCCAGCATCCGGTCTGTGACGATTACGTCTATGGCATCGATCGCCTTGTCGAAGTGTTCGACATTGATCGCAGCAGCGATGAGAGTGATTGCTATCAAGAGATGTTGGAAGCTGTTCATTTTGACTGCGACCCGCTGGCGACGAGCTCCAGCGACGACGAGTTCGCCGTGGTCACCGTCGTCCGGGAATGTCTCGCAGGCGGATGCAGGGTGGAAGGTCAACCGGCCGGGGGGCGAGAGCGAGAATAGCTTACAGTTTACAGAGCTGTTTGAGCGGTTTTGTTCGTACCGCGACGAGAAGAGCTTGGGCGATCATGGGGGCGCCTTGAATGAGAGAGTGTTCATGGTCACGTGGTTTATGGACACCATGGTGTGACAAACTTGAGCAGTGTTGCCTGGTCGCCAGATGAAAATTATAAAAATTCGTAAATTGAATATTGCAATTATCAGAGCTCTAAAAATTGCGTAACTTGGTGTATATACTAAGTAGCCTATGAGCATTCCATTTCAAGAATAATCTATCCGTTTAATTTTCGTGTCATAACCCCTTTAAAGGGTTCGTGAAATGTTTCGGATTTCAATTCCGCACAAACTGTAATACATCGTGCAGCGTAATAGCCAAGCACGAAAACGTAGTAATTTCCACCCCTGGAAATTTTAAAATTCAATATTCGTCTTTTTTTTTTTTTGGGGGGGGGGGGGGGGGGGGGCGAATTTTGTTCCAAAATCGTGATCCGTCCGCGGTACCAACCGGTGTAATGATTTAGGTTCCGTACCGCGTTCCACCTTTCCACGGGTCTTAGCGGACGCTATACCCCTGCCAATGCAACGCTGAAAACATATCACGTGATTACGCTCCCCGCACGTCGCGGCGCACCCTTCTGGAAGGTCACGTGGCACTCACGCCGCATTAGGCGGGCTTTGGTGGCTGGATAGCGACACCGATACGCGGGGGCCAGGCATTCTGTCCTGTTACAAGGGTTTGATCCCGGGACACTGACGACTTGGTCTT